AAATCCGAATTCTAAAGCTATTCCTTAGTACTAATCACTATCAATCTTCTCATTTTCCTTATATATTTATTTTTTTCCTCATGTCTTCATTTACTAATGCTCGAATATTATTAGGGCTAGAGCATATGTGCAACTCTCAGATGCGACAAGTTTGCTTAATGCAAGTGCGATTGGTGAACCCGCTGAGAAACTGTTGTTTTCAAATTCACAATCCCTAATGGAGCAAACCAATTCTATAAGAATTTCCGCCTAACTTAATCATTTTGCCATCTTGTACATATTTTATTGAAATGATAATATATGATTAACATACAGGGTTCACAATCAGTCTTCGAAGAGGTCATTCAAAAAATGCAAAATACTAAAGAGCATTCTACTTAAAAGCAACGCAAACTGAACCCAATTCATCAAGTTACAAATTTGACATCATCCATGTAATAGATTTAGACCATACAAATCTAGAAAAACAAAGCCAAACAAATGCTCGTACTGATGGTAGCTACACCAGCTAAGAACATCATTGACACGGACTGTTAGGAAGATTGATCACCTCCAGCAAAGAAAACTCTATTTTTAAGTCTTCATCTTCGTATCATTCATCCACTTTAAAGGTTGGTTTTGATGAAAACACGAATTCAAAACCTCTAGACACAGATCCATTTATTGAAAAAGAAAAAATGGAGTAAATGATGATTGAAATGTCCTTTGGAAAGAAACTTTTGAGAAGCACTGTTTGTCCTGCTGTTTTATTTTGTTTGTTATAAGACATGCCCATACTTTTGTTGTATATATGTAGAAGAAACTGGTGAAAACATGTTAATGTTGAAAAATGATGTATATCAAACATGATAACAACATTTATCTTTTGTATGTGTACCTTTTTGTTATCAACATTAATGGAATCACTTTCTATTTTCTTCCCAAAATTTGTTTCTTTTGTTCCCTGTCTATCAGTTAAACTGGATTTCGTGAATTTTTCTTTCGATTCAGAGTTATTTTTCAAATGCAAATATATCCACTCAAATTAAAGTTGCTAAAGAGAAACAATTGGTCACATTCAATTTACAACCTTGTCTCTGCACAGACCACGTGTTGAGCGTCTCCGTAAGGAGTCATGGAGAATGTGTCTTCACACTGCGCAGAGACACGGTCTCGTGTCTCCGTGGATACGAAAGATATTTGGTTTCCACACGGAGACACCGTCGTGTCTCCGCCTATTGGATGATACACAAGTTAATTTCATTCTACTTTTGGTGGTCCTGCTATATACATTATGGGTTTTGAAGAAAAATGCTTAGTGAGGTAGTATGCTCAAAGAAGCCTATGAGATGGATCCCGGCAATTATTCTTTTTCTTCACAATTGCTTAAAATATTTCAAGCTGCTACAATTTGTGCAGTAGTCTTATTTTTTTCATTTCTGTTTCATCCCTCCAAAATTCAATTATATGCTTAGGTTATATACAAAGCCATTTTCTTGTTCTATTTGTTGTAAGACTCAATGACACAATTATTTTTGTAATTCTCAGAGAGATTGATATGCCAATATCTACATTTACATTTTTTTTATTTTCCTAAAAAACAAATTGCACAATCATATTTTTTTGAATAATATTTTCAACATTTATGTAAAGGGCATGAATATATACAATTCACACACAAGAATACTTTTACAAAATCTAAAAATTCTATGCTAATAACAACAAAATAATTACAAAACTCGTGCCACGCACATGTCATAGACTAGTATATATATATACATATAACATCATTTGGACTAGCTTTTACATGATGGGTCATGTGATGTGATAGAAGAATGCATTTTTCCACAATAATGGCGCCCAAACGATGGCTAAGGAGAGAATTGACAAGGTGAAAAGTGTAGTCCGGAGAAGAAATGAAATCCGGAGAATTAAATCATTATATCTAAGAATTGTGTCGGTGTCGACAGAAATGTCTGCTTGAAGAAAAGGCTAAGAGAGAACGATCTCGAGCTAACGAAAAGTGAGGAATTCAATCAGTTTCCAAAAAGAAAAGTCATGATGGAGTGAAAAAGAGGCCACATGGGGAGGATAGGCTGGTTCTCATGGTTCAATATCGATTATTTGGAGCCACGAAGAAAAAAGATGATGATGCAGTGGCGGCAAATGTGCGATTTTTAACCAAATGTTGTAAAATGTATGATTTTTCAAAGTATATGACGGCCATGGCTTGCCACGATGGCACAAGTTTGATGCCACTAGTTGCACAAGTTAGTGGCAAATAGAGTGTAAGAAGAATGTGAAGATATTAATTGGAAAGAGGTAATGGTGGTGGGTTTTAAGGAAATTGTAACTACCCAAGCCTCGTGCTTAAACTGTTATGTCATACGTATTATCCACTTTGGGAGAGTCGGCCCATCTTACCCTCAGGATTTCTGACGCGTCCTTCGTGATTCGAATGCAAGACATCTTCCTTATGAGAGATTTAAGTTGAATAATGGTATAAATTGGACAACTTTCAGTTGACTTTTAGATTCAACTTAATTATCTTATAAGACAGAGATATTGAGTTCGATTTTCGGGGGATGCATAAAAAATTCTTAAGAGGTAAGATAAGTTAGACTCTCCCAAAATGGACAATATATGTGATATAACGACTTGAGCATTGAGTCGGGTCATTACATAAATGAATGGGACGTTAATAGGAAGGGGCAGCAATGGTATTGGAGAGTTACAAAAATTCAAAGCATTCTGGTGAGCTCCGACGAATACAATGGCAATTACGACGATAGTTAAGAAAAGAGAGGTATGTGAGAAGATGTTAGGTGGGAGAGAATGAGATATATTTTTTAAAATTTTAATTTTTTTTAATTATTTATTTGGACTCATTTTCATATTTTTTTAAAAAAAATTGGAATACGGTAGATATTAGTTCTTTAATTTTTTTTAAAATTTAATTGGAGGGGGAGGGGGAGGTTCATTATTTCATAAGGATTTATTGAGAAAATAGAAGAACTAGGGTGTTTCGCACTTCAAAGTTCAAGCATGAGAGTTTTCCGCCAATTTGAAAATGTATGAATATTTCACAATAGGTCCATAAGTTGGGGGGATTGTACCCATAAGTTTTTTTATAAAATAATTTTACATGAAAATTCAAAATTTTCTTTTACTTTTTAACTACACATTCTTCAAAAATTCACTATTATAAAATTTAATTTTTCTAAAAAATGGAGCTCAACTCACTTTTAACATAGAAATTCCAAAATATAAAAGTTGAGAACTCAAAAATTACATTTTCGTAGATGAAAGACCCCATCCATAATTTATTTGTTCCCTACTTGGCTCTCATTCTTTACAGTTTATTACTTTGTCAAACTCATTTTTAATCATACATACTATGAAATTTCAACTTTTATTAACTTTTCAATCATATATTTTATTTAAGCCAAACACGGATTTGAATTTATCACAACACTTTTTGAAAAAATCGATAAATGTTCGAAGTCCGTGTTTGTCTCCCTTTTTTCCAATTTTTTTCTCAACTTATTTTTTAACCCCGTATTCACACAATTAAGCTTTTGTTTGATAGCCTTTATTTTGGTAATTAAAACAGTGCAATGTTCATAAAATATATTGCACCATCTGACAGGTGATTACTCCATTCAATGCATTGATAATCGGTCAAAGAAATTGATTTTTCAATTATGTCCTGAATGACAAAATTCAAATTTACTATTTTGCCCTTTTGGAATGCTTTTCTATCTGCATGTAGATACAAGAAATTGGAGTGTAGCATCGGAATAGCAAAAATTTTGGATAAGTATAGTAGTAACTCGTGATTTGGAATTGATATGATATGTGTTTGACAACTTAACCCAATTTTATTGTACAAAAATTGGTTTTTGATAAAATAAAGGTTGTCAAACAAGCAAAATATTTTACATGTAAATTCAAACATTTTAACAGTGCATTTTCCAAAAAATCCCTATTCTAAAACCAAAAACTCTTTAGCCTCTGTTTGACAATCATTTTACATAATAATTTTTAATTATACATTCACACAATAAAATCTCAGTTTGTCTTTTATTATTTCAAAACTTTTTTTTATATATAATCATTTTTAACACACATTAACACAATAAAATATTTTACAAATAGACATATATATTTTTTATTTTTTAACCATACATTTTTAAAAAAAAATCACTATTTAAAATCATATTTTTTCTAAAAACTAGTTACAAAAGTGGGGCAAAATTTTCTACTCGTAAATCCAATTTTTTTTTAACTTTTTAACCTTACATTTTCCTAAAAATTACTTTAAAACTCTATTTTTCCAAATGATGGCTCAATTTTATTCAAAATGCATTTTTTCTCTCTTTTTTTAATAAAACACATTCTCTAAAAAAATAATACTACACGTAAATCCAATTTTTTTTTTAATCACATTCCTTAAAATTATTTTGAAGAACTCAAATAGGGGCTAAAAATGGAGACAAACATATGTTAAGTTCTAATAATGCTCATTGGCCAATGTCAGTAATAGGAGGGGAGATGATAGAGTGTTGTGGCAGGGTGAGATTGATTGTTGCATTTTTTTTTTTCAAATGTCCAATTATATATTGGCACGTGGCCTTCTATCACTATTTAGGGTGTGTTTGAGATACATTATTTTGAAAAAATGTATTTTGAAATAGTAAATTGATAAAAAATGTGTGGTTGAAAAAGAGAGAAAATGTATTAATGTGATGAAAAATATTATTTTATTGAAAAATGAATTGTTAAAAATGAGTATGAAAAAAGAAAGGCTCAGATGCCAAAGGGAGGTAAACAAGCTTTCACTAGAAGCTAGCTTTTTTTTTTATTTCCACGTCACTAGAAGCTAGGTTAATTGTACCACCCTCGAATAATATTTCAGAGCAGAAATTTCCCGCCAAAACCTCTAAAATGTGCCGCTAATAATCCTCCGTTACCTTCAAATTCACTGCAAAGAAAGCAAGAATACACCGTCTGTGTGAAAAATGTCGGACTCCACTTCTTCACCAACCCAACAATCAATGAAACCTAATCCTAATCCTAATCCTAATCCGAAATCCTCCAAGAATATACTCCACATCGGAGGCCTACCAGTAGAATTCCCGTACCAGCCGTATGGCACGCAGCTCGCGTTCATGAACAGGGTGATTTCGACCCTGGATCGATCTCAGAGGGATGGAAACTGTCACGCGCTACTTGAGTCACCCACGGGCACTGGGAAGTCACTCTCTCTCCTTTGCTCTACCATCGCGTGGCAGCAGAATCGGAAATCAAAGAATCTTCAGGCGAATTTGACGCACTCGAGCTCGAAGCCTAACCCCGAGGCCACCACTGATCCTATTAATCATGGCGGCGGTTTCATTCCTGAAACCCAGCCTTCAGGTGTTAAATATGATCAGAATTCGAGTAATTTTGATTTTTTTTTGGTCTGTAGGTGATAGCAAATATTAACGGAACACCAATTGTGCCTTTTTGTTTTACCGCTCCTTTCCCTTGTTGCCCGATTTCTACGTAGGCTTATTGTCTCATTTTTGAATGTTATTAGGATAAGTTTCACATTTTTTGTAATTTCAATTAACTCATGAAATAAAGTGTTATCATGTCCCTGCTGTATATTCATTCTTGAACTTTCGAAGATATGTCACAGGTTTGACGGCATCATAAGCTTCCCTGTTAAGCCTATGCAATTTTTTAGGCTACTGTCTGTCACCTCTTCTGAAATTGTGGATTATCTTTATTGCATAATTTAGGCATTGTTTACTATTTCTAACATTTTTCTTGGTTTCCTTTTCAGGAAATCCGGGAATAGCTCCACCTGCCAGAACAAATTTTAGAAAAGAGAAGTCAAAACTGGCTCCCACCATCTTTTATTCTTCGTAAGCTTCATCCATGTTAGGTTAACATTAGGTTGTCTTTCTAGGACAAATTTGGAGATCAGAATATGATATTTTGGTCATGAAACTGATCAAGGTTGTAAAGGTTTAGGGCAAACTTGAACATGATTTCAGATCATAACGTTTGTATAATCTTCTGCCTTCGGTATTCACATTGTGTTCTGCTACTTTTGATACTATAATCGGATTTGCTTAAGCTTTTATGAATATTAAACAACTAGCTCTTATAGTTAACTTGCTTTTATTAGGAGGACGCATACACAAATCACTCAAGTGATCCAAGAATACAAGAAGACATCTTACCGAGTGCCTATGGCGGTCTTGGTAGTATTTCTGAACCAATACCTAAAATTTCTCTCCTTTTTTAAATTTCGCAAGATCGGTGGATTTTATACCTTTGCGAATATCAATTTCATGAGCAAAGGGCTTATGATGGAATCATTGTAAAATCGACACTTCTCCCCAGTTCTAAAAATATAGCCTATGAAGGGAAAATTTATAGAGTCCATGCTGAAGGAATTTGCATATTCTGGCATGAGTAGAAATGATCATTGTGGGGGCACACAACTATTTTTGCATGGGTTAATGTGGTGACAGAGCAGAATTTTGAGTTTGAGGGGCGGGCCAACAAAAAGTTGATGGAATTATGTGAAAGGGACAAACTATGCAAATAGTACTAAAGGTTGGTGAATGAAAAGTCTGATGTTAAAATTTGAGGATGTATTTGCTATAGATATTAAAAGAGTTCAGACTAATTGTGCAAATTTATTAACAAAACGGGAGGAAAGTTAATAATGTGGCTGGAACCTACACCGTTTGTGGCCACAAAAGTAAAATATATATACTGGAATTGTAGAAAAAATTTGAAAATGTTACCGGGGCTAGGATTGTGCCTCTTCCCCTGGGTTTTATGAATGTTTACTGTTTATGTAAGTTGAGTATGAGTGACATTTTGAGTATGTATATGGGTTCTGCCCCTTTTGGCGCGGAAACATCTCTTTCAACTATAATAAGATCATAAGCAAGTCATGGGCCTGTAGTATAGGCTTGGGCTCAAGTTGTGGTGAAGAATTTGGGGATGACAGAGCATATATGCATATTGTTATGATCTGAAGAGTTTGGTATAGATTTTACAACTTCTGAGAACTAACTGTGGTAGTTCTATTCCTTTCACTTTTGCTTGGTCTGCAACCATCATTTCTTCTTTGGGACACTTCACCTTTATGAGACAGTATGTGTTTTTGTTTTCACCTATCCTTTTGTTTTCTTTCAGGGATCAAGGAAACATTATTGCACAAACCCACATTTACGTGGAGATGATAATATTGATGAGCAATGGTGCTTTCCTTTTCCCTTGAAAGATAAAATTATTTTCCACTTTTTTTTTCTTTTTTCTTTTACTTCTAACATGCACTGTCTGAATTTTCCAGTAAGTTGCTTTTGAAGAATAAAGAAGTTCTCTGCTCAGAATTCAAGTGAGTTATATTTGATTTGGCTTACTGTTTTCTATTTTGCTTGTAATGCATGGTTAGACGACTTGTTCTCAGCCAACTTTGTTCCCATTAGAAATGTCCATAAAGTCAAAGGTCATCCATCTCTTCAGAAAGGAGGCTGCCACGAGATCCATGATATTGAAGACCTTGTCAAAATTGGACAAGCTGTCAAAGGTTCACTCCTTGTTTTAATGGTTTCTTAGTCTTGGTGGTTTAACCGACACGAGTCTCTAAAGTGATTTTTTGGGTTTCAGGTTGTTCATATTTTGCATCACGGTCCATGGCACAAGATGCGGATTTGGTTTTTTGCCCATATAACTACATTATTAATCCCATCATCCGGGATGCAATGGAAGTAGATATTAGTGGGAGCATTATTATTCTTGATGAAGCACAGTAAGTTACAAGTAGCCACTTGCCTTCCAAATGTAATATTTACACAGCCAAATTGTTGGAGAAAACGTAGGAACCACCACTTGCTGCCTTGTGCCATTTTCACGAAGTACAAGATGATACAATTATTAAAAAGGGATCTTAACATAGCAGCTGTAATTTATTTTGGTCGGCAGCTAGGGGCACAAGTTTGGAACTTTATATTCAAAGAAATTAGGTAAATTTGATTCCCTTTTTGCAGTTAAGGAAATGAATGTCATAACTCAAAAAGAAATGCAAAGTTCTTAAAACAATTGTGTCATCACTTAAAAAGAATTGGAACAGAATTTCTTTCTTAAATCATAATTAGTTATTCAATGAATTAGTAACTGGCTACACTATGTCAAGAATTTTAGCAAGCATCATTTTCTCGTCCTTATCAGTTTCTTCTGATCTTTCCTTTAACTGTTTCAGTAATGTGGAAGACACAGCTCGTGATGCTAGTAGTTTTGATGTTGACGAAGATGCTTTGACTTGTAAGTGCAAGTCTGTAACTCTATGATTCCTTACCAATTGATATATCTCACTCGTTTGCATTTTGGAAGATCTGCAGACAGAACTGGAGAAGCTCAGCCATGATAATTACTTAAATTACCATCCTTTACTGGAAATGACACAGGTGATCATTTTGATCTCATGAACATTCCATATGCATCCAGATTTCATTCACAGCTATCGGAAATTGCCCACTTTTCTGTAGGACATATTGAGTTGGATTGACAGGAGGAAAGAAACCTTAGTAAAGCGAGATTTTCAACATTACTTCCACTGGTTAGTTATTTTCATATATGCTTATCACCTCATATTGTTGATCCCTCTTATACTGATCATCTGTAATGTGTGAACTCAAAGCTGCTCAGTTTTTCCTGGGTGCCTGACCTCAGTTATTATATGTTTAATAGCTCTTCAAATATTTACAAGTTTTTGTTTTACCATTCATGAATATAGAACTTGTTTGAGCCCCATTTTTTTGGCCAAAAATGCATTTTGGAATAGTGATTTGATGGAGAATGTATGGTTAAAAAATAAGGAAAATTTTTGGATTTGTGCGTACTATTATTTTATCGAAGAATGTATATTTGAAAATAAGAGAGAAAAATGTATTTTAGAAATAATGTGGACCAAACAAGGGCATATTTTTAATTCTTCAAAAGAGTTATATGTTTTTTTCAGATTTAAAATAACTTGTTCATTTACAAATAATTAATGAATAAACACATACATATGTTTTAAAATAACAAAGATGATTAAAAAAGAAATTAAATACATTAAATGAACAGATTAAGTTTTAATAATTAGCAATCCTACTATAATTTTGTCTGGCTTGGTTGGTGGCATTTTCTTTAACTTTTTTGTTTTATTATATCATAAGAATTGTACTGTCTTATGCTTAAGAAATTGAAGCACTTTTGTCATAACATTAAAAATGCTTGAAGCCAGCATCATACAAGGTACAAACTTTGGATTTTCCCTTTTCCGTCATCAAAATTTTGTATCTATTGTTTTTATAAAAGAAAAAAAGTTAATTTTGACGAAAATATTATTTTAACCACTGTGCAAAAAGTGAGAAAAAAAAACAAAAAAGATTTATCTTTCTTTAAGCTAAAAGAAGGCTCCCATCTAAATCAAGAATGCGAAAATAAAAAAATGAAGAGAATGAGAAGGAAGAAAGATAAACTATTATCATTTTTAGTAATAGTTTTGAATCGGCATAAACATAAAAGGGAGATTTTTGCCCGACAAGGGAGATTTTTGTCCGATAAGGGTGTTAATGTAATATCAATACATTGGAAAGTTCGGGAAGTGTCATTGTAATTTGCTTATCTGTTAGTTTCATTTTAATTCACAAGTAGGTCTTTCTACACAAGTCCTTATCATTGCATAGTTCAAAACTTATTAGACTCCTATATTTTTTATAGATAAAAGATAAGGATGTGCCAATTCATTTAAAGGTATAGACACGTAGAAGATATTATGTTGTGCAAATTTTTGTTCCACCATTTGACAAGTTTTGCATTGTTTGCGTGAATATTTTCATGCAAGGGATTTTTTATTTGCAATATGCGCATTGCATCTCTTTAATTGTTGGCAACTCGTGTTTTTTGCTCAGTGCACTATTTTCATATACATTAACTTAAAACACTTGTGTGCGTGTTTTGCAAAGCTTAGCTTATAATGTAAGCCAATTAAACTACACGTTTCATACGACCAAAAACTATTGTCCTCTTAGCACTGTTTGGCCTTCAATTTTTGAAATTTATTTTTTGTCAAACTCATTTTCAATAACACATTTCATTGGACACTCAAGTTTTATCAACTTTTTAACCACACATTTCATCGACATTTATCGAAATTTACTAAAAATATCTAATTTTAGCTAAATCAAACATGAACTTATTATTTATACATTTTGTAGGATCTACAAATTATAATGAAATCATTTAATTTTTAATGGGAAATTTGCACTTTTAGTCCCCAACCTTTGTGAAATGTAAAAACTCTACCATCAACCCTTTTTAGCATAATCTATCCCAACCTTTCAATCATGTAGCAAAATTAATCCTCACCTCTATTTTAGCCATTAAATGATTGATTTGCTCTTCTTTTGAAATAACCAAAAGTAAAAAAAGCATTAAAACAACAAATAATAAGAAAAAATTTCAAATAGAGTCAATTTTCTTAGTTTTTATTGTTTTATTACTTTCTTTTATTTTTGTTTATTTAGCCCTAGTTTGAGCGCTTTTTTTGGGATAAATAGATTTTGTAATAGTATTTTTGAATAATGTGTGGTTAAAAAGGAGATTTTTTTTTTTTTTAAATTTATGTGTAAAATTATTTTATGAGAGAATGTGTGATTGAAAATGAGTTTGAGAGAAAATGAGGCTAATCAGGGGCTCAAGTAGAAGGGAAGTTCCTTCATTTAATGGCCAAAATGGAGGAAATGACTAGTTTTGCTACATAACTGAAAGGTTGGGATGGATTATGCTAAAAAATGTTGAAGGTAGATTTGTTACGTTTTGCAAAGGTTGGGGACTAAAACTGCAGGTTTTCAATTTAGTCCTTGTTTGAGCCACGTTATTGTAAGAAAATGTAGTATGTAATAGTGATTTTTGGAGAATGTGTGGTTAAAAGATAAGGGAAAGTTTTCGATTTGTGTAGTTGAAAATGAGTTTTTGAAAAAATAGGGGCCAAACATAGGCTTAAATTTAAGCACTTCCAAGCATGCTCTAAATGTATTCCCTCTTTGACAACTTAAGCTTATATATGAAGTGATTTAACATGACATCGAAGATGACAAAGGCCCTTGGTTTAAGTCTCACCATCACCAATTTATTAAAATTGTGCATATGTTAGGCTTTTGATTAAAATGAATCCAACCTGCACGTGAGAGAGTATTTTGAAGATTAATTTAAAGAAATAACTGGGTTTTAAAATGCTCATTTGTCATGCATCTGCAGTCTTTAACCTATTAACAGTATAACAGAAATACAACATGCGATTTCGTCTGTTTCATTACAATTATCTTAATTTTCAATCTTATATCTAGGATTCAAGTTAATAATTTGTTTCAAAAGTAAAATTTTAACTGTACAATGTATTAAGCTTTGCATCAATACCATGTTATGCTCTATTTCACATTCTTAAATCTAAAGTCTTTCTGGCAAACTTAAAAATGCCATGTCATATAAGATGTTTCGCTTGCATCCTATTACTTCTTATTCTACTAGGGTACACCTCTTGTTGGAGCACAAAGCTTTTAATTCATCAGTTTTTTCATTTATTAGCCTTCTACAAAGGGATTGACAATATTAGAGTTATGATTGTCTTCTTCGTCAGATATTCTCCGCTTGTTCAAGAAAGAAATGCTCTGGCTTCTCACAACTTCATCTCATTCGTTTCCTTTTCTTATGTCTGTTTTGACCAATTTTTTATTTTATTTTTTTTCAAATTGTTTCTTTGTAGCTGGACAGGAGATAAGGCTTTAAAAGAGCTAGAGGAAGCTAACATAACACTGCAATGCTTTCCTATCTTACGGGAATGTGCCACAAAGGTAGATTAATCAACTTTTAATGATCAATCAAATTAAGCCCCTGTTTGACCCACATTATTTTTTTCATTTTCATTCTTCTACTCATTTTCAACCACACATTCTTCAATAAAATAATATTTTTCATCGCATCAATAACTTTTTCTTCATTTTCAACCACATATTCCCCATTACATCATTTCAAAAAAAATGTATTCTTTTATTTTAATGTGCACCAAACAAGTTCTAAATTACTCTTTTGCATAAAATGCTTGGTCATATCATTGCTAACTCCTACTCTCTTGTTGTGATTGTTTCCACATCACTCTGAAGGCAATTAGAGCTGCTTCAGAAGATGAGCCGGGTGTTGCTCATTTAAGTGGAATGGCAACAATTATACTTGAAGGTATTTGGTCTTTGTTCTCAAACCCTGATCATAATATAAATTTCTGACAATGGGAATTGGCCATGTGATTATCACTCAGGATTGTTCTCTTCACTCAATTACTTCTTCTCTAGAAATGGTGTCCATGCTTATGACTATGAGTTGGCATTGCAAAGATCTGTTAAAAGAGAGGGTGGTAAGAAATGTTCATTTTATTTTATAACTTCAGGATGTCCAAATTTCCTATTTCAGCTAATAATATGGATTTACTGGCCTAGAGTAGTAAAGTTAATTGTTCTGACCCTAAGTAAAACTTACTATGCTAGCAAATGTATTTATGGGGTCTGAGATGCTACATAGAACAGAGCACTGGGGGAGTGGAATACCATAACTCTCTAGCAAGTGAAATTAAAACAGACACATATTGAAGACTGTACGAAGGATCTAGAATTACATGCTAGTTCAGAGCTTGTCCCCTTAATTGATAGGAATTGATATTCCAAAAATCTAATGGATTTTTGTACGGAACTCACTTTTGTTGAGTAATCACTTATTCTGGATGCTACATTTTGTTTAAGATTCCACAATACATTAGATGCCCTCAGTGGAAGAACTTAGAGCATTCTCTTGAGGAGAGAAGTTAACATGTCTCGGAAAATATGAGGAAACCACAAACAATAATAGCAAGAACCTATTGTAAATAACAAGCAAAAGGACAATCAGTGCAGCTTACAATTTATGTTTTAAACTTAAAACTAATCGGGAGGCAAATTCATTTACCAACGGATATGAAGCAAAGATAAAGTATTAAAGTTAAAAAAAGATTGGTTAGACCATGTCTGCTTTCATCACTTCATATAATGGAGATCCTAATTGATATTTTCGAAAGACTTTTTGTAAATTGGACATTTATTTTAGATAAAAAAAAAAGTAATTTTGTTTTGATTTATGTAATTATACTTCTTTCTGTAATTGTTAGGTTTAAATTAGATAAATTTCAATTAACTATCAAATCAATTGTTGATATATGCCTCCCCAAATTCTCTCTCTTCTTCTGCTCACTTTATCTCTCCCATCCTGCGTCATCACATTATGTGTGCAACATGAAATCCAATTTCAGAAACCACGAAAGGACTGTTTTAGTTTTAGTATCTATGAAGAGACCTGCTGTAATGGCCAGATTGTTAAGCCATATGTTACTCAGAAACTTTGTTCTTGTAATTACTGCTTCACTACTTTCTTTTTCTCACGAGGTACTTGTTAACTGCTGCAGGTGACTGGACACACACATTTAGTTTATGGTGCTTGAATCCAGCTGTTGTCTTCAAAAGCATTGCTGACGTTTCTCAGTCAGTGATTCTAACATCTGGGTAAATATAGTTGCTTATAAGTTATTTCTCAATGAAAGTGTATTTTTGTCAATCATGGTTACAATATGTTATCTATGCTTAGTTTGTTAGACTCATGCTGTTCACTTTCAGTGTCTATAATGTTTGTATTGCCATTAACACAATATAACTCTCATGAGGTCAGCAGATGGATATTGAAACTTTTGGAGACAATTTTATTGTAAGATAACATCTTTTTTGATAGTTCCTGTGAAGCTTGGGAACCCTTCACACTTCCTCTCTTAGTCAATTGTGTTACTTCAGTTCTATGCTAAATGATGTATATAATTGCCAACTCATTCAACAGTAAGATAGTACCGTCCATAGAAGATAGTTCTTACTATATTTACATCTTTGTTATAATTTATATTAATTTTCTTTCAGTTTGTGTTCCACATTCTTTTCTACCACCTGTTTTGCTCTTACTCTTTGACCTGGCATTATCTTTACAGGACTCTGTCCCCACTGAACACTTTCTCGTCTGAACTTGGTGTTCAATTTGGAACATGCCTGGAGGCTCCCCATGTCATAGATGTTGATTCACAGGTAGACTGAATATCTTCTTATGTTATTTATGCTTGTTTGGTTGCACTTGCTTCTCTTATCCCTACCAAGAACTGATTTCTCAGCCATTTACCACAGGTGTGGGCTTCTGTGATTTCCAATGGTCCAGGTAATTATCCATTAAATGCAAGTTACAAGACAGCAGATGGGTATGCTTTCCAGGTATTGCAGCAAGCTCTACTTATTCCCTTTCTATGTTGAATGGAATTCTTCTTACTAATGCAAGCGAGAAGTTATTTCTTTTTAAAGGATGCTCTTGGCAAATCTTTAGAAGAAATATGCAAAATTGTCCCTGGTGGGTGTTTGGTATTCTTTCCTAGCTATAAGCTGCTGGACAAAGTAAGCAAACGTTGGCAGGAAACTGGTCAATGGTCTCATCTGAATGCTCAGAAACCCCTTTTTGTTGGTAAGATTAGTTTAATTCATGCCAAGGGTATGTGTATGTGATAAAATCAAATTAAACGAAGTAAATCGAGCAAATGTCTTTGGTAAACGTGGGAACACAATAAATCTTATTTGCCTTTCACATGTTGTTATATCACTACTAGTCTACTACTATTGATCCATGATATTCTTCCACGATTTTGGATTTTTGTTTAGAACCAAGGGGAAGCAGCCAGGAAGGTTTTCAGCCTGTTTTGAAGAATTACTATGACTCTATTCGTCAAAGTACAAGACAGGTGATTGGAAGAAAGATACGCCGTAAAAAATCAGATTTTAAAAGTGGAGATAAGGTGAAATCTCCAAAAACTACTAAACCGGGTGCTGCTTTTCTTGCAGTTTGTCGAGGCAAGGTAGCTAAGAGTAATCCTTTCAATTGTGTTGTGTCATTTTACTTACTTTAAAGCACCATCTTGCAACTTCAAACGCAGACTGTGCAACCACGTGGCTCATCTCAAAGCACCAATCTTCACTATTAAATATACATATGATTGGCCGCATGTCGACATATATTCACATTCAAAATCCATAGTACAAAATAGATCCATCATATCACATAACAATACTGTCTTGCTTGTAGTCGAATAGCATCTTTACTCACCTCGGTAATAATGGAAAAATGATGTACTGGGATCTTCGTAGCATGGACACTTCAAATATGATAGCGTGTTTGTGTTGGACACGTGTTGATACCAACACTCTACGGACGTTCTAACATGATTGTTTTTCTTCTTTTATTAAAAATGTTACATATTTTTAACTCAAAATTATTAGTAAATAACAAATAGATACTCGTACTTAAAAGATTTCAACAAGAAAAATTAATAACAAGTATAAAACTAAATTTATATTATATAAATGAAGAATTTTAAAAAATTTAATCACTGTGTTAGCTACCTGTCGTGTTAGAATTTCCAAAAAAATCGCGTATCAGCGTATTCGACATGGCTCGTGTCGGTGCATCATCAGGGTCTCTTCTTGAGTCATACCAAATATATATAGGAGTTGGTTCAGTTAGCAAGGCTCATAGACACTGCTTCGGTGGACATCCCTATGGAAATTAATATGAAATATAGGTGGGACAAAGGGGGAGCTCCTTGAGGATTCCACTCTCTATCTAAAGCTTGTTGGTAGTCTTATCTATCTAACCATCACCTGACCAAACATTTCTTGTGCCGTCCACACCGTCAGCAAGGTCATGCAAACACTTTGGCATTTCCATTTAGCCACTGTCCGTTGAATCATTCGACACATCCTTGGAACACCTAGTCGTGGTTTATTCTTCTTTACTGGCTCTGCACTCCAATTGCAAGCCTACGGTGATGTTTGTTGACCTCGAAAAATGTTCCTCCACATGGCCAATAGATTCGGGTCCTCATTTGTCTACGTAAGCCTTTAGTTCTGCACATTTGGACAAATCGTAAGTCACATCTGGTCTTCTTCAGAGTGGGGTGAGGTGATCTCGTGCACTCCGACGGTCAAATCAATCAGTGAGTAAAGGGGCGTGGAACAAGAGGGTATCAAGTAAAATATAGAGAGCAAGATTATAATTTGAATTTATAAAGTTGCATTACCTTTAAATAGCACATTGTGTGAGCTTTTATAGTAGTAAAGGAGAAAAGATATCCGTTAGATGAAGTAACACGCGGCCTCATCCTAATGGTTGAGGTCTTCTTTTAGATGTCACTCCATCAAACCTATGTTGACTGGCACAATGTGTGAGCTTTTATAGTAGAAAGGAGAAATGATAACTGTTAGATGAAGTAACACGTGGCCTCATCCTAATAGCTGAGGTCTTCTTTTAGATGTCACTCCATCAAACTTAGGTTGACAGGCATTTAATGATTTTGAAAAGCAGCCGCCCTAGTGCTTAAGTCTGACCTTCAATATGTAGACTAACAATTTGACCTTAATGTGATGTTGCAATGAGTTGCCATGTCAATCAATCACGTTTGGACTAAAAGGTGCTTTTGTGAATGCGGTGGCCAGGATCCTCGCACCTCTCTACAGCATACCTTGCACTTCGATTTGGCCATTGAGGGTCAACCATTACATGGCACCTTGGTTGATTGGGCAGGTTGCCCGGACACTAGGAACTCTACTATCGAATGGTGTATATTTCTTGGTGATGCTCTTATATTTGGGAAATGCAAGAAGCAGGACTGCATTTCCAAGTCATTCATTGAGGCTGAGTATTGCGTCATGTCTGCTGCCAGCTCCGAGATTATTCATAGAGCTTGGTTTCTCCCAAGTTCTACCTACTCCATTACATGCTAACAATACTAGTGCTATCCAAATTGCAGCAAATCCCGTCTATCACGAGCATACGAAGCACATAGCGAGATGCCTTGACCGCACGGTCATAACCCTTCCACACATTTCCACTACTCTACAACTTGCAGACATCTTTACCAAATCCATGACCCACCAGCCTCACCATTTCCTTGTTAGCAAATTGATGCTTGTGAATCTACCGGCATAAATTTGAGGGGGGAAGTTAAAGAAAGGCTGTAAATTAGCATGCTGTAAATCATCTCTGTAGGATGTAAATCAGGCCTGCAATCTCTGTAAATCAGCATGTATCAATCAGCGTACTGTAAATCAGCTCTTAGGGTTGTAAGGCCTGCAATCTCTGTAAATCAGCATGTCTCTATCAGCGTAAATAGGGCTGTAAATCAGCGCTTAGGGTTGTAAATTAGGGCTGTAAATTAGGACTACAAATCACTGTAAACCAGGGCTGTAAATCAGGCTAATGGCTGTAAATTAGGGCTGCAATTTAGTGTGTATATTATCTATATAAAGGGTATTCTCTAACAAGACAGGATATAGTTCTCACAAAAAAACTCTAATTTGTCATGACATTTAAACTCGTTCGTTAGAATCTCGATTATAAAACCACGCTCAAGATTCCCTAGAATGTCGTGAATAATCATCTTAGTTAGGATTTCAGCATTAATAGTGCTCCCTTCGCTTCCAAAATAGAACTCAATAAATCACTTTGAATCTAGTAGAAAATGCTTGAACTGCTGATGGTGACAAGAAGGCTGTGAAGCCCTGCAAGGGTATTTCTGTCGAGGGAATGATTGAAAATGATGGGAAGATGTGTGCAGTCGAAGTCAAAAAGTTGTGTTTGAGAATTAAGGTGATACTTATAGTACCATAACATTATTCCCATTTCTACTTTGCTGTATAAACCTTAAAAATAAATTAATGGATAGTTGTATAATTTTGGAGTAGTATTAATTATATAGGAGGCTGTAGTTTCCAACTTCAATTATTATACTCTTTTAAGATTTATCAATGCATGCTCTCGAGCATATTTGTCCAACTCCTTCAAACATCTTAAGGGTAATTGTTATCATTGTAATCAATCACAAAATTACTTGTTGAATAAAATATTTCTTATTGGGATGTCATGTTTGCAGGTTTCTGAAGGGATTGACTTCTCTGATGAAAATGCTAGAGCTGTTGTATCCTTCTTAATATTCTATTGAGTTGTCATCTTTATCTTACAATAGATCAGAGAGTATCAAGTAAGATAATAGACTTGTGCCACTATAAGTTTGTTTTGGTTTTAGTGGTGGTTTCTGGGAGGCATATTGTTTCCATGCTGCATCGTGCAGAATGGAACCCTACAATTGTAAATGTTATTCAACTGGAAACAATTTCATGCTTCCATTCTGCTTTATATGTAGACGATTATGTTATGCTTAACTCCACCAGGTAATTGTCGGGATTCCCTTTCCAAACATGTAAGAAATCTTTCTTTCTGATTAAAGTTGTTAAATAACTATCTGCTTCACTATTATGAGTAGTTCTTGTTTATTGACTCAGTAACGACATTAAAGTTGCACAAAAGAAGAAGTTTAATGATAAACACGGGTCATCAAAAAACCTTCTGAATGGGAATGAGTGGTACTGTCATCAAGCATTTCGAGCTCTTAACCAGGCTACAGGTACTTCTTAGCATATACACCTTCAGTCTTTTACCATGAAATATCAACAATCATCTCAATATGTTATACTCCACGTTAAGCCTAAGAAAAGATTGATTATTAGTTCTCGTCTATTTATTTTATTTTCAGACCATTTAAATCCTCAAACCAGTCAACTCTCTTAGCCCCCGTTTGGCCTCCATTATTCCCCATTAAATTATAATTCATATATCTCTCTCTTCTTATCAACCACACATTCTCCAATAAAATAATATTACACACGTAAACCCAAAAACTTTTCCTTCTTTTTTAACACATTCTCCAAAAAAAAATAACTATTCATCTCATTATAATGTGGAATAATAGGGACAAACGTGCGCTTAACTTATTATTCCTACTTATGTCCTCATGATACATATTGTCCATCCTTTGTCAAACTTTCTGTATCTAGGATGAGAAAACATTTGAAAATTGCAGGAGATTGAGTTGTTTTGAGTTTGCCATTAGTTTCCTTTATTCGCCATTAATGTTGTTGGAGTAATTTACTTGTCAGGTTATGAAGAAGTAGAATTACTTTAAAGTATAGGAAACTTAGCATATGTTTGGCAAGTGTTTATAAATAGTTGTGTTTATTAACAGATAGAAATGAGCCGTGGATATGGGGGTAGTATTTGTGGGGGTACTTTTAATGAGTGAAACCAACGAGGAATTTGTGGGAATAGGAGGATCAAATTTAGGATAAGGTCAGAGCAGAAATTCTGTATGTCTCTGCATCTCCTTAACCAGACAGTATGTTACTATTAATTTTAAAATCAAATTTATCTTCCGTATTTTCATGGACGTTTATATGATGAATTTATGTTGTTCTTCATACTATCCAAATGATTACTTCATTAGAATGATGATCACTGTTTATATTTGTGTTGCCTAAAAAATTTGCAACTCATCAAGCTCCATTCAAATTCCTAGACTCTGAACTCCTCTTGTCCAACTTTCTGCAACTTGATTTTGTTCACTTTCTCCTCCCATATCTGCACCTTACTTTTTCCTTTGTATTATGTCGATATGAGAAGTTAAGAAATCTGAAGGTGTGCAAGCCTAAATCTGTCATGCTGAATTCGGTTAAAATTCCTTAAAATTGTTGGCAAAAGCAAATATATATGATCTCTGGGTTTTATGTAATGTGTAAATAGTGTCAAGTGTTAGATATAAGTATTAGAAACTTGAAGCATGTAAAGCCTTCACTGTTTTTATTAAGCAATGGATTACAGTTTAAGAACTAAGTGGTATAATTTTAGAACTAACAATTTAACATATATCTCGGCAATGTCTCTCAGTTTACTTCTGTAATTTAATTTGTTATGAAACGGATTTTGTTTTGATTGAAGTCTGCCAAATCTATTTGAGCAAATTAAACATGACTTTGTTTCTTCTTAATTCTGTAGGTCGTTGTATACGACACAGATTTGACTATGGAGCTATCATCTTCTTAGGTACTTCCTATCTATTTTCTCTAGGAAATATTATTAAGTTATTTATTGAATGCTGTTTAAGTTTCACATTCTAAAGCAATACTACTTTAGCAGCTATGTGGAAGAAGCAGCTTTACGGCAGACCATCAATTATCTACCTTAAGAACTCTTTTTGTTAATCAGTTTTATTTTCTCATCTTTTTAAGGGGGGGCACTGGGCCGAGAGCCGAGGAGCTGGGTACCTGGGGTATTGCTATTATGCCTTCTCAACACTTTCTACTATGTTGTATGTTTAACAATTTAGTAGATCAAAATATATTTGATTAGGAAATATGTAGTTATGCTTCTGATCAGAGAGGAAGCATCCACTTAGTATTGCATGTGTCAAACTAGAGGGACAAGCATATAGTTTTAAAATTTTAGACTCAAGCAGATAAAGAGTTCTGTTCTTTTTCAGAGCTAAGTAGATTCTATCCATTTCGTAGCCCGTGAATGAGAAAAAGTTAAATTTTCTTACTTTCCACATACTGGTCTATCTTTCTGAAGGTTCAATTTACATGCTCCATTCTGCTCCGTTTATCATTTGGATAATGTTGTTCTTCTATTATCACATTGAATGCCAATTTAACATGCAGATGAGCGTTTCCGCGAAGATAGAAACCGAGCATACATTTCAAAATGGTTACGCAAGTCAATTAGACAGTACGACAGCTTTGAGGAATCACTACAGGGTTTAAAATCCTTTTTCAATGATGTGAAGGTATTCAAAATACAGACGGTTTTTAAGTTTTGAGTCAATGAGCCAGACATGTTGATCTATTTTGAATGCAGGATCGTTTTGGCACAGCAGCTAATTCATCAGAAAGTACTGATGGTAATGACGGAAACGTCGAATCTGTGGATTGGAAAAGTGAAGCTACAAGGAAAGAAAATCAGAAAGTTAACAAATCCCGTCGTTACCAAATGAAATTAGAATCAAATGGTATATTACGTAGTGAAAAGGTTGCCAGGCTGAGACATCCTTCCATTCCAGTTACAAAGAACAATTCATTGTATAAGGATACAAAAAGTGAAGTTGTGACGCAAACAGATGAGAAAGGTGCCAGTGTTAGTGTCTGCAGAGAATACATAGACCTAGATTGTGATTCTGACAGAGACTCGAGGTAAATAAGAAGGGCTTTAATTTGTGACAGTGAATGTGATCCTTTATCTGCAACTTGGAAAATTTAGCTATCGAACTTTTCTTATGATTGATCAGAAGTCTCTGCTTTAAGTGGTGCTATAACTTCAATATGCTACTCATAAGCCAATACAAAGTTGACAACTTTTATTATAGATTTACGAGAAGTTAGTGGTGGCCCTGACTATAGGCGGGGTAGGCGATCGTCTAAGGCCCCGTCTTGGTGAGGGCCCCCAAAAAACAATTATTACATATATTATATTTACAAATAATAATGAAAAATTTTCAAAAAAAAGTTTTATATTCTTCAAATTGTAAAAAGATTTTTAATATATTCGTGACTTTACATTTTTTTTTTTTTTTGTTTGAGTCTTTAGGTTGATGCAATCTCCGTAATCTTTGTCATTCTTCAATCTCATTGACACTTAATTCCTCATCTCCCAAGTTCAACCTCTGTAAATTCTCTAGCTTACGCTTATTGTCTTTGACATCATTAATACTGACTTGTATAAGTTTTTTGCTTTAACTTTTATGCCTTCTTATATAATTATTTTTTTGGTTTTTTCAATTTTGGTATGAAAGTATAAAATTAGTCAGATCTTCCAATTGTTACATGTATATCTCATTTTTGTTGTAATATTAAATACATATATGTACTTAGTTTCCCAGACCAGTCTCGGATGGTTACTCGATATTTTATCTTCTTTTCTGCAACTAGTTAACTTAAAGTATTCAAAGCCAGTTGGCTGGTTGAAGAAAAAATATTAGTAGCTTTCATCCAAAAAGGATTATAATGTTAAAGAACATAGTCATATGTTAATTTTTCTTGATACATTTAATTCATAGTATTTTTCTTATCAAGTTCTTTGTTATTTCATCAGTGTATATTTTTTTATAAATAATATTTTCTTAATAGATTCTCATTATTATTATTTTACAGTTGAAAAAAATTATTCGTCTATCTAAGTGAAAATCTTTGATCAAGTTCCATTGATACTCAACTAATTTAAAGTTTGATCTTGCATTGATTCTGGATTGTTGATTACTTTAATATGTTTGCAGTTTGCTAGAAATTATATGTCTGGACATAAAAAAGAGAAAAACAGAAGAGTTTATTCAATCTCAAGTACGAGTTATGGATCAAGGAACAAATCCGGCGTATAAAAGAAAACGAAATTCGTTATCACTATCTTAGTCACAAAATTTGGATTGTATATTGCTTGAATATTTTAATTTAATAATTATTTATTATTTCTTGTTTTTGTATATATATTTTTGAATATTTATTGGGCCCCATATTTAAAGTTAGGCTTAAGGCCCCCAAATTCTCAAGGTCGAATTTGCTAGAAATTGAGAAATTGTAGCCTTATAATGGAGGAGCTGTAGCTTGTTAAAAGATGTGTGATTGACTTGGTTGCTTTTACATTTCTCTCTTTCAGTAACCCCAAATCATCCATGCATGCAGGTTGTCTACGGCGTTGTCCCCTGATGATGCTGAATTAACCTTTGTCAAGGAAACACCAGGTATGAATTTCGGGAATCCTATAACAACTCCTGAAATACTCCCCAGGAATGGTTACTCGAGTCCAACAGAAAAAAATGCCTACACTGAGGTTCCACAGCAATCATCAAATGCAGCAGCTCCTACCAAAACTACCTATATGGCAATGGCCACGCCTGAAAGAGGACTTACTGCTAATGCAAACAGTATAATATCTGAAGTAGAATCGTCCTGGAGTGTCAATTCTCATGTTCAGAAAAGGAGAAAATTCATGGGTTTATCATCAATTAATAATCTCCAGGCATTTGATACTCCTATTACCCAGGCTGCTGATATCGTTAGTCCATTGGGAAGCTCAGTAACAATCACAGACGCGAACCACAGAACTGAGGAGAAAAATAATTCAGAAAATGAAAGTAGCAAGTTCAAATCTTCTCCCTCTCCGAAAGTTAATATTTTTGATGGATCCCAAGTGCCTTCTGGCCTTAACATGAACCAGAGATTTCAAATCTTCTGCTCGCAATGTAGAAATCCATTGGGTCTTCCTGAAAATGATCTTCACGTAATGTGCTCTCTAATTTCATCATCGAAAGTCCATGTGATATCTCAATGGATGGAGACTTCAGAAACTCTAGCTTCGAGTACATCAAGTGTGTGTGTTGTGGTGTCAGATATATTGTCAGTTGATAAGAGACTACTTGAAAGAACTGACAATAGTGCTCCTGGACAAGGGATTTGGTGCAAAGAAGATGGCTGTGTTTTCAACAGTATTTCTTGCCCCTTCTGCAATGACCCCAACAATTGTCTTGGTGTTCAGGTTGTGGCCACTGATGCATCAAATTTTGAGTTTCAAAACAAGGTGCGAGTCTTTCATCAATGTCAGTCTCTCTAGAAATGATGAAGGAATCTGAATCCTTTAATATAACCCTCAAACTCTTTAAGGAGTAATGTTTGATTTCTTGCTAAAGAAGAAATGAAACTTCTTTCAGATCATTCTCACAATTTTTTTTTTTTGTATGACAGATTTTGTTTTATCTTGATCGTTTGGAGATTAAGAATTCTGAAACGGCAAAAGACAAGGTAGCTTTTTCTTGTAATTTTATTTTTGTATAGTGGAATCTTGTTTTTTGTGATATTTGGCAGACTTGGGGAGCAGAGAAGATTTTGGAAAATGTGAATGTGCCAAAAAGGAAGAAAAATACTAGTGTCTGTAGAGAATAAATATATTTGAGTCGGGATTTGCCAAGACAATTTTTGCAGACAGAATGCGTTATTTCCTTGTTAAATTGATTGAGTAAAATGGAGGGCATTAGGGTTTTGTTCCGTCTAAGAATTCTCATTAGATTATCAGATAACAAAATATTAAGATGGAGATAAACGAACATACTAGTGACTTGGTTAAGGTAGCTCCAACTGATGACAATTAGTGAAACTGATTTAGGGTTAAGACATTCAGTGAGGCTGCAAGATGCAATTAATGTAAATTTGAAGTAAGATGTTTTTTTCCTCCCTAGAATTACTTAAAATCAGGTTAATGAAATAGATTTTCNTAAGCTGATTTTAATCTCTACCGAACACGCCCTAAATAATTAAGTTCAAAAAGTATTTGTTAAGGGATATAATCCCACATCGAATGAAGATGTTGACACAGACCAATTAATAAAGATTTTGGGCTACTCCTCTTAATAAGGTTGATCTTTTAAGATGGACCTCCAAATCCTAACACGAACATACTAGTGACTTGGTTAAGGTAGCTCCAACTGATGACAATTAGTGAAACTGATTTAGGGTTAAGACATTCAGTGAGGCTGCAAGATGCAATTAATGTAAATTTGAAGTAAGATGTTTTTTTTCCTCCCTAGAATTACTTAAAATTAGGTTAATGAAATAGATTTTCTTTTATGGTTTAATGATGGAAATTCCCATTGATGGAGCGGAGTAGATGAGGATCATTATGGTTCAATGATGGAAGTTCACGTTGATGGAGCGGAATAGAAGAGGATCAAATTAGTTGACTGTAAATAAGTATTGGACAAGGCTTTGTGTGAGTTGAGTTTTGCAGAAAAGTAAAGGAACCAATGAGTTCATTAAAGTGTTTTCAAGATCACGATGGTGAATAAACAGCGCGTCTGTCCATTTCCTTACCAAGGTTCTACCATAGTTGCTAGGCCATTGATTCTATACAACAGAGGCGATAATTTTAACAATTTGTGGATATAATTCTGGATTTTCTATCAGCAATGTGATTATAAAATTAACTATTTGTTCCAAAGAGTTTCAATTTGGTTCAGCGAATCGGAAATCATTTTAAAAGTGAACACTGTCAAGTTTTAGGCTCGAATTATGTGAAACCTTTACAATTGTTTTGTCAAAGCCCAATAAGTGCCTTCTCTGTTGTTTGTACTAGTTCTTCCATTCTGATTGGAGAAAGCTATTAACATTTGGCTCAATTTTAGGCTTTATCTTCTTTTGGCGACTCATGCACAAGTGCATGTCCAAGTCTCATCGAGAGATATGCATATATTCCACCACCTCAAGATTCAGGAGGCTGGAGGAGCACAAAATCAAGGGTAGGGTTGTATAATTTTACTCAATTCTGCATTATTTTGCCAGCAGTTTCACATTATTTGGTTATCTTGCAGTTGCGATTACCAAGGAAAGACCCGGTTTCTTCTGCCAAGTGTTGATGCCAGAAGCGTTTGAATGGATGTCTGGTATTTACTGCAGTAGAAATACAAATTTGCAAAGTTGAAATATTTGGAAGTTGGTGAGTTTCAACATTTTTTCCAAAGGGCAATTGGTGATTAGTGTTCTGTAAGTTTGCATGTTTTTGTAAGTGCTAGCAGTTTATTTGTTCAGTTCTGCCATATGATATTTGCTGTTGTCATGTGTTAAGCTACAACAGATTGCAGAAGAGACATTTCACTAGATGCAAAAAGTACACAACAGGAATCCGAGTTAGTGTTAGTTGGAAATAACGGGCGAAGACATGTTTGGTTGGACAAATCCTGGACTTCAATCGTTCAATCACTGTTTTAAGGGCAATTTCATGGTTGATTTTATTATTATGTGTAATTTCCTTGTGTGAATCTAGGCAGCTAGGTTGTCCTTATGATAATTTATTCACAATGTGAATATTTTTTGGATTTCTTTAATCAGTAAAAAGGATGAATTTCTCATTCCCTATCCGCTGTTGACATTCTTAGAACTGGTTTTCTTTCCAATTTCTTCTTTTAGTTTAGTTTGGTCGAGATATGATAAAGTCGGGAATGGGCGGTTGCGTTGGTCTGTCTAGCCAACGCACAAAGGTTTTTGTGCTTTTTTTTTTTGGGTTAAGTAAAGATCGGCTACTTTGTTGAATGTTGTTATCACTGATTCAAGTGGCAGTGAATTCTATAATTCATTGTTTAGTGTGTTAAAATGCATTACTACTCAATAGATAACTGCAAGCAGTTTGGGCCTATTGCCACCCCTATAAGGAGTGGTATTTTTCTCTTTTAACTATTACTAGGGAGACGCATGAGCAATGCACGTGCTACCAGTGTTGTTGGCTATTTAATAGCGTGATTGTGAAATATTAATGAAACCAACATTAATGAAGCACCGGAAGATAGATTTCATCTACATGTGAAATAGCGTTACATTTAAAACTTTATTTTCTTCATCTAAAGGTATCATGTTTATGATGTGAACATTGTGTGCAAATAGAGAAAACCATGGAACACGTGCTATATTATATTTGGCTATATGATAGCATAAATATAAAAAAAAAAATTATTTGTTTTAAGTATTAGTTACATTAAATTTAAAACACTTAAAATGATAATAGGTGATAAATAATATTAAGAGATTTGATTCAAAATTTATTTTTTAGGTGTTTGAAGGTCTTTTCGTTCTTTTTAAAAAAAGACGGGGCAAAGATGATTAGGTGTTGATCTCTTGTTAAAGAGATAATGAATTTCAATCTAGCCCTTCATTTTCTACCTATTGAGGTAAGACATTATGTCTCTTTCATCTCGTACTCACAGAATCTTCAATTAAATGTATTAGTTGTACTAGTATTTAATTTTTTTACCAGGATCCTATGCAAGACGTATGTAGCAAAGATTAATTAATTAATGATAATATAGTGCAGAATTTAAGACAAATCAAGGGTCTCTATCAGTATCAAACGATCACCTAACTTCATAAATTCCGTCGAATATCTTTTCAGCATGTGTAAAGTCTTGGTTGTGTGGGGAAGTGGAATATAGAGCATGTGTGATTGTGTGAGAAAATGAAATTTTGTGAGAAAGAAGAAAGAAAATTCAAAATGATGGTTGCGTGTGAAAATGAACAAAAACAATCACAACTTTATGTTTTATAATTTGTGTAAAATTATTTTTGATATTTAAAATTTATCGATCATATATTTATGTTAGTCGCATTTCAATATTTCTAAGGAAAATTGAAAAGCATGATTTTATGTTTAATAATTCATACAAGATAATTTTTGATATTTAAACTTTATCAATCATATATTTATCGTGGGGGTCCTTTAAACTCTTGAATAAATTTTAAATAGCTGAAAATGAACATTTGTAATGTAAAATATCAAACCAAACGTAAAAACTGAAGAAAAATGAAATTAAGATAAACTGGTGTGAGTATGGGGGTTGAGGGTGGGGTAGAAAAGAAAAATTAACGATTATAATTTTACGTTTAATAATTTAAAATAATTTTTATATTTAAACTTAATCAACAATATATTTATTATTATCACATTTGAAGTTTTTTTAAAAAAATTTGAAATCAATCCAAATGGATATTCATATCGTGAAATATCGAATCAAACGAAAAATTGTAGGAAAATAAAGTTCGAAAAAAGGACATTGTAATGAGGTTGAGATTGAAAAGAAACATAAACAATCACGACTTTACGTTTCACAATTAATATAAAATTATTTTGATATTTAAAATTTATCTATCGTGTATTTATCATGGAAGCACTTCAACATTTCCAACAAATTTTAAATCGCTTAAAATGAATATTTGTAATTTATAATATTGAATCAAACGTGTAAAAAAAAAAAAACCAACGGCATAACCGAGCCGAGCCGTAGAGCAATTTTCCTCTTAAAAAAATACTGAATCAAAAACAGGGCGGGCGGGTGGGGGGGGGGGTGCCGAGCCGAGCCGAGCCATAAATCCATTTGGTTTGACTCAGCTCGGCTTATGAACAGTACCACCAAACTCCCTCTTTTATTTATGTAGGATAAAAGGTATTGCAAAATTTATTAGCCAATGTGGAATGGCCCGAAAACCCATGAAAATGTTCATATGTACTAGCCATCAGAACACGTGTCATGTCGATCCATTTTATACCTCTGGCATAAATTCAAAATTAGTTTTGTGAGAGATAAAGTTTGCTCATTTACGTTTATACATTTCAAAATTTTAGTTTGGTAGATTTTTTCAAGTAACTTGAATTCTACTTAAAAGTTTTGATTAATGAATCGAAATTGCTGTTTCAAAAGAATTGTGTGTTCTCATCTAAGTTTTGATAATTATCCATTTAGGGGTTCACCTTGAAGCTGCCTCTTTTATCTTCGTACATCTCTCCTGCTAGTTAGGAAGCATTCGTCTCATATAAACAATTTACCTCATAGTGGTTCTGCAGATGTGGAGGAATTGTTAGCGAACAAGCTTATAACAATGAGCACTTTGAATGACCATGTAACAAACTTGTAGAAATTGATTATCCAAATCTCCATCCGTAAGGACTTTATGCAAAGAAGGGTAACCTCTATCCAAGTTTGTCTATTTTGAATTTTCCAAAGTTAGCATTCATCCTTTTGTAGATATTCCTTATTTCATGAGGGATGTGACCAATGTTAGGTCCATAAGAGACCACAACTTTTGGTGTTCTATGGTTGGCCTGTGTTACGGGGGAAGATTAGCAAAACGGAAAAAGACTGTGAGGGGGAGCAACATCTTATTCTCTTCACGAGAACTTTCGGATCAGAGAATATCATTGCATCATCCTGCCATTCATGGGATGTCGTAATGATTCTGAAATAAGTTGATGACGTCAGGTTTGATGTGGAAGTTAGTCTGTCCAAATGGTGGATATATGATAGGTGGTTGCACATGAGTAGGAATGGGATTTACATAATACCTCACTAAACCTTCTCCATCATTTGTTACTGCTCTTAGCTGGTCTAGCCGAATTGGCTTGGGTAGTGGTAATGGATTTTGAACTTGATTTTTTGCCATTTTCCTTGCTTTCCCCTGTTCTCTTATTCGTTGTCGAAGGTTCATTCGATTTGAGGATCTATTGGAAGAGACTCGATTTTGTTAAGATCTTGCATAAACTATGCCTTCTTGAGAAGAGTGAAACAAGAGCCTTAATTCGTTCAATAAATAGCCCGAAACATGTAAAAATTTCAAATTTAAAAATAACTAATAAACTCAAATTAAATAAATTATTCCCTGATAGCGGCACCAAAAACTTGTTCGTGCGAAACTCGCGTACGGGATCGTTGACAAGTAATGGAATGAGTGTATTGGATTACAAATCCACCTATTATTATTTATTTTAATTCTCAATTACATAGTTAATATCATTCATCCATTCTTGACAATCGATAATTCTATTGTAATTAATTCTCTTTTCCAAGACAAATGAAATATACTCTAGTCACGACCCGTATCTATTCCTAGTCTGAATTCAAATTAATAAAACGCATTTAATTTCACAATTATCTCAAAGATTGTATACGTGATAAACATTATTCATAATATCTTTTGCACGTATGTTAATCAAGCAGTGTTCTAGATCTATTGTTAACATCCCAACACTACAATAAGCAACTATATATTTAATTGTGATCAAGCAATCGAATAATAAAATTATGTAAGATTAATCAAGAAAAACAAGAATTTAATTAACTACTTGTCTTAAATTAAAAATAAATAAATCAAGAAAAATCAAATTAAAAATGTTTCATCTTCATCCAATCCATGGAAAAAATTAGCCTAACATCTTGTTATGTAAATTACATAAAAAGATTTGAAAAAACATCACCTGAAATTGAAAACAATAAATGGAAAGTGAAAAATCAATTTCTTCATGTTAATTTTCAGTTTAGACTTTGAATCTTCAATCTTTTGTGTTAATTACCTTCGAATCTTGTGATAGCCTCCTTCTTGTCATGACAAATAGGGTTTGATATGTCATGTCTCGTTCACAAAGCCCATTATAGGTTAAATAGTATGTCAAATTTGATTTCTATAAGAATTTGGATCAAATTAGGAAGTTAAGTTGTTCAAGTCCAGAAATTGCCGCCGCGTGCACCATATAGTGAAAGCCCAAGATAACTAACCAAAAGGGGGGTGAATTGGTTTTTAAAAATTTTTCGAAGAATTAATCTAAATTCAAGCAAGTAAAGACTAAATAGATTAATTCAAATAATAAGCACAAATATAATAGCCATAAGTAAGAAGGAGAGAACGATATATTTGTGGAGGTTCGATCCAAAGCAATGATCTACGTCCTCCATTACCAAGCTCTCCAGCACGAGCAAGGCATTTTCACTATGTTTATTGACTTATGATGCAATCTGACCATTTACAACGCTTCCGGTGACTTACAAACAAGGAGCACCGATCTTTATACAATGATGAGCTTTACATGACCTCAACACGA